ATTTTTATGTACAGGTTTAATGGAGTAGTTTTAAGTGATTTCTATCATTTTTTCTAAAAAGTCATTTTTTTACTAGTCAAATTAAGATTTAATTGTTAGTTATTTATTGCTCCTAAACTCTTCTGTACCTTTGACAGGCTACCTAATTAAGAGAATGTCCAAAATATTAAACAAAATAGTAATAATTTTATTAGGTAATTAGTTTTGTTTTCCACAGATGCAATCTAGAGTGAGTTGTTATTATGAAATAAGTTCATTTATGATTTTTAATCCAGATTTTATAGGATCATTTATGATAATTGTTGCATTTATAAATTTACTCGTCACAATTTTTTTCCCCTCATTTCTCTTCCAATCATTATTAATATATTAGGTTTAATAAAGAAAAAGAAATGATGAAAAGCATTATTATTTGTAAAAGTATGTTGTATTATATACAGTGCGTAAAATAAAAAAAGTAAAAAACCTGAATAACTCTTGATTTAGTGATCGGATTTTAACTTAGGTTCTAGATCTCAATCTAAATGGTTTAAGGGCCAATCTTAAAATATGCTAATTAGATGGTGCAGAAGATATTTTTTTAAGTCAGGCAAACGTGCTTCCTCTACCTATATATATATCTATATGTATGTTGTTGTTAAATTTGGATATTTGTCCCTCAAAATATGGATGATATTCGCAATAAAGAAATTAAGGTCCCAAAAGTTTTTTTTAGGTTAAAAGTTTGGGCTCCATTATTTAATTTCAGTTTTCATGCATTTCGCAATGTCTCGAGAACTTTTGAAACGAATTGAAAAAATTTTATACCTAATAATAAAATTCATTTACATAAAAATATTTTCCCGACAAAAATAGTTTTTTTTAAAAATTATTTATTATTAATTGTCGGAAAAATTTTCAATTTAAGAATATACAAATTTTTATATAATTTTAAAGAACATAAATGTAAATGGTAAAATACAAAATTTGAACGAAATCTGTCGCATAGTTGTTGAGAAATTAAATGTTAAAAATATAACTTTTTTAAAATGGAATAATTCAGTTGTATTTGACTGATTTAATACACATTAAATTTTGTATTTTGTCATTTAAAATGACATTTGTTAAATTTTCAATTTAAAGTTCTTTCGTCTATTCTCTTAAATAAAATAATATAAAATAATTAATGCTTCTTAAAAATTATTTTTGACAAGGAACTATTTTTAGGAAAATGAATTTTATTATTGTGCGCTAAAATTTTTTAGTTCGTTTAAAAAAATTCTCGTGGTGTGGCTATATATTTCGAGAGTCAAGAATTCGAACCATTTAAAAAAAAAAGTTATGCTTTTTTTAGAAAAAGATGTGTCTGTTTTTCTGAAGTATTTTGAGTCTTAGTATATAGAAGTTCAAACTTTCGATAAGTCATTCAAAGTGTTTGCTTTTTTGCACATGGTATAAGTGCACAAACAGAAGTTTTTCTTTATATTAATTGAAAAGTTTTCAATTGATCATATTTTAATTTTTTTATTTGAATAAATATTTTCTTTTAAAAAAAATTCTGATTTTATATTTAGAATAAACTCGTGACTTAATAGCAGATGTATCTTTAATTGTTAGAGGGGGGCAACAAAATATTTTCAGTGCTTAGGGCCTCAAGAGGTCTTAATCCGGCCCTGGTTCGAGTTGTGACGATTTTATCTCAAATTCGGGAGAGTTTTGCACATAATGTAGGAGTTTTGAGCCTTCTGAAACCAAGTTTTTTTTTTTTTTTTTTGCAAAACAAGAGAAAAAATAAGCCATTTTTGCTGTGTTGTAATAAAATGTCAACATAAATGCAAAACTTTGTGACCAAAATATTTACATTTTTGACCACATAATAGTGGAAAATGGATAAAATCCTACAAAAATCTTGAAAAGCGAGGGATTCTCATCCCGGCCTTCAACTTATATTAAAAGACTTTCAAAATAAAATAAAAACTTTTAAATGAACAAAAATGACTCATAATCAGATAAAGAATATAAATCTTAGGCAACTTAAATTTAGATTTGAAAAGTTGACAAATTAAATTTCAATAATATATAAAAAAAAAAGTATTGAATAAGAAGTATTAATCAAATTAAATTAGAAGTATTGTCCATAAATACAGACCTTTCTCTAATATTTGTAAAATTGTTTCAGGCCACTGAAGGTTTCCATCCTCCCCATTGTAATAACCACTATCAGCCATAAACTTAAGTGTTTTTTGACCATCCCAAAACAAGTTCAACGCATGCTTGGACACACCAATCAAATTGGAATCAAATAGTTTTAGAGTTTTTTGCGACACTGTAGATTTTTCATACACAATCTAAAAAAGAATATCTGTTTAACCACACAACTTTTCTCAACAAATATATTTAGAGAAACAAAAAACATGCAGAATAATAGAATTGAAAGATACACTAAGATAAAAATATAGAGTTAAAACCAATTGAAATATATAGTGCAGATAAATATGTTATTAGATAAATATTATTTCCTGGTACATAAATTCTATACTTGAAAAAAAATTTGCTGTGCAATATTGTGGTAAGATTTTTATGTAACAAAAATTGTGCGTTAAAAAAAATTGCTAAAACTTATTTTCTAAAAACTGGTCATTTTCTTTAAAGCATATCTAAATTTTCAATATACATACCTCCACAGGGGGAAACAAAGCGATGAAAGATAATAATCTGGATTGATGCCTGTCATCAGTAAATTGACCCAGCTAAAAAAGAATAACTTATTGAGTACAACCAATAATGTAAATGGAAAAAACAACTTATAATTAGATTGTTTTTATGTAAAATTTTCCCATAAACGTTTAAAGACACGTTTCCTACGTTTAAAGACAAACAATATTTCAGCTTTGGAAAGAATTTTATTTCATCAATTGTTAATAAAGAAAAATGCATTATGCTTAACTTATAGTAAAGTCACAAAAAGAAAAAAAGATGGTGAATTGCAGTAAAAAATTATCAATAAGCTTCATAGATATATTGAAAGGGTAAAAACAATGAATGCTACTTTATGTATATGCATAAGAACCTGCTGACTTACCTAAAAACATTTAAATTTATAATAATTATACAGTAAGAATTTTAAGGTAATCTGAAACTTAATCTTGAGTAAATGTTCTCCAGTTTAGAATAAAAAGTAAACTTTATAAAATGCTGCGAACAAAAAATATTCCATATAAATTCCTCATGTTAATAAAATGCAATCACTCTATATCCTTGATTAAATTCAAAAGTCTGATCCCATTTCCCCATATCACAATATCATTTTATGGTGTTTTTCATTTCATCACACAAGACTTAACTCACACCAGTTTTATTATTGTATTTGAAATGGGAGGTAGAAAACACAGAATGCTATACAATGATGTATTTATTTGACTTTATAATGATCATGTACGTAAAACATTTGCATACCTAAATTTATTTTTGTGCTCTTTAACGTTGTTTACCTTAATTTGCATACCTGTCAACCCCAATTTTTAAAATTGCAGAAGAAATCATTTAAAATATAGAACAAATAAATTATTAAATTTATGAGGTTCAAATCTTTATGTATATTTATAATAATTAAGAGTCGGCCAGATGGTCGAGTGGTGATTGTGCCTGATTGCAAAGCCAGTGGCTGCGTGTTCGAATCCTGCTCTGGGCATGGATGTTTCTCTCTGTGAGTTGTTCTCTATTGTGTGATGTGTGAACGTGGCCCACCTTATAAAACGGGCGTCTGCGGCAGTGAGGCATGGGTAATGTTGCTCGCCTCCGTGACTTAGGTTCACAGGTGCCCCAATTTAAACAATTTGCTTAATCTTAGTCGCTGCAAAGGTATTTATAATTTAGTATTTATTTTTATAAAACTAAAAACTTTCAATAATACATAGTTAAATAAAACATTTAATAAGTATCATAGATTCAGTTTTTTCCTCAGTTATAAAATTATTTTGAGTATTCAATATTTTTGACTCATTAATTAAAATATTTGGTACTAATTTAATGATCATGTTTCTAATTAAGTTAATGAATATTATGAATAGTGTTCATTAGGGCAATGCGTATTTTACGCATAGTAGTTTATTTTTATGTTAAAAAGTGATATCTAACATTAAATAATAAGTACTGTAGTTAGTTCAGAATATACCAGTACAATAACGCTAAATTCGTTATTTACATGTTACAGGATTTTTCTACAACAATGATCAAAATAAAAAATAATTGTATGTGGACAAATTTGCCATGTAAAAATAATTACAGAATTAATAAACGGCTACTTTAAGCTTACTTGAAACCATTACATTTTACTGAAATGATTTCAGAATGTTTAAAATTTAAAATATTGACTGATATTACAAGTTTTTGATATTTCATTATTTAAATTCCTTAGTAAATATTTATAAATAACTAAAAAATAAACACCAAATATGGTCTTTTTCAGGTGGCGTTCATGCTGAAAGAAGATCAGAGAACAGAACAAGCACGTACAAATTTTTTCAAGAAGATTAAAAAAGGAATGAGAAAATTCCCGCAGGATATATTTGTATCTTAATTTGTTGCCTCAATTACAATCGCCAAGGCATTAAATTGATTTTTTGCTTGCAAATTAAAAATAAAAAAAAACATACAGAGGTTGGCTACCAGTCATATCTTTAATAGTCATGGGAGCAATCATAATTAATAGTTATAGTCACTGCCTTTATGATGCTTCTTGTGTGCTGCCAGCAGGTATTTTTTGGCACTTGTATCAATAGGAAAATCAGCCCATTGAATTTCATTCCAAGGGATAATAAAACTTTTAAACACATTTTTGGGTTTCAAATAAAAAAAATTTTTATTTAATGAATTTATATCTGTGTTTTAAGACTTTTTAATTGCAACAATATATAGTAATTAAACAATAGATACAGCTTTGTTATCATTACATACCCATATTTGAAATTTTTTTTATTACCAAGTTAAATAATAACCAATGATTATCTGATTACATATCGTAAAGTAGGTTGGAGAAATTGTGAACAGGAAGCTGCAGATGACAATCATTGAAATAGATGATGATGTTACTGAAATTGGGATAATGTAATGACAGATTTATATTGTGCATACGGGAAAGAGTTGATTGGTGACATAAAGAAAGATTTATTAGAGTATCAACTAGATGTGTAATATTTTCTGCTGAATTTAAGTTATTAGAAATTCGCTTTAGGAATGAATTTTTTTGTGATGTAAGTTTTTGGTTCTTGTGCATACTGAATGCTTAAGTTTAAACATGTTGATGTAAAGATTGGTATTTCTGTTGTGTTGATTTGAGTAATTTATGAGTATGGAGGCAAGATTTCGGGAGTTGCAAGTTAAGTTTTCTGAAAATATGTGATTTTATGATAAGTTTTTATGTATTTATATTTTTAAATATTTTCTTATCTTGTTTTATAATTTTATGCCGAGCGGTAACAGAAATATTTCCAGGGAGAAGTTATTTGATATGTATCTGCAGTATTTTTGTTTGTTTTTTAATATTTGTAATTTAACATACACTGATGATTTTTTAAGGTTAAGTGATACTGTCCAAGAAATATTTGTTTGGCATACTATTTAACAGTGTGGATACTGATAATAAAACTGATGCCTAGGGGCTGATTCGTTATTGATCTGCATTGTTTCAGCAAAAAACAAGTGTGTACTGGTGACAAAACTGTGCGTACTGGTGCTTAGATTTGGTATAGGTGTGCATTATTTTTTCCCCTTAAAATATTGTATGCAATACTAAAAAAATTATAATTTCATAGGGTTTCAATATTTGATTCTGTTCTAGGATGTTGTGAAATTGGCCCTAATCGAAATGCCCAAAAACAGGTGCATACTGATAATTAATCAATAATTAAACAAATTGATAATTAAATAAATTGATAACCAAACAATAATTAAATTGTGTGCCACAATTTTATGATTTCCTTGCAATGTACATGGAACAAATTAAAATTGTAATAAAAATGTTTTCCAAAAATACAGGATATTCGCACATTTTGAAATTGGTTCAGACAATGCACAAATTTCTCATAAAAACAATTTTATAATGCAAAAAAGAAGAAAAAAAAAGAGTTTCTTGCATCCGAGCTGACTTTCTTGTAAATCCACGCATAGTCTTGTCAATTCTTTTACTGACTAGACAGATTTGTTACTTGCGCACAACTTAAAAATCCCAAATTTTTATTTTTAATGATATGACCAGGGTTCATACACAGATCAGAAGAAGAAATCCAAGGAGTATCCAAGGAGTCCAAAATTTTAAGGACTTATCAAAAATTTAAAAACTTTGTGTAAAAGATAGTTTTTTTAAAAAAATGAAAAAGCAGTTATTATAAGGAACTTGCAAAAATGTATATTTTGAATTTAATTTCTATCCCTTTTGAAATAAATTTTGATTTTGTCAAACTTCATCAAGAAAAATAAATTAAGTTTCATCAAGAAAAATAAATTAAGTTATCACTTTGACACATAAATACATTTTCCAATTTCAAATATTTTAATAAATCTTCTTAAAGTACAGATGTTAAGGATTGACGTAAAAACCTACCAATCTTATATTTTTAAATTTGAATACACAAGAAAATCTAAGGCATTTTATACCCAAAAAAAAAATCACAGCAAATTATTAATTAAGTTTGCTTGTAACATGTAAAATTATTTGCTGTTATTTTTCTTCTTCTAACTCTTGCAATTCAATTTTTATTCTCTTAAAAGTTTTCTTAAACTGCTAGCTTTTGACAGCTAAGTCATATCCAGTGGTGCAAGTGCCTAAATGTGACTTTGGAGAAACAAAAAAGCTATTTTTTGAGCAGCGCAACGAATATTTGGAGCATATATAATAAAAAGAATTAAAACAAGAATTTAATAACAAGAATTTTCAATTTTGTTCATTAATAACATGTCTTATTTTTTTCATTATGAAGGTCCCTGCATTAAAAAATTAAGTTTCTATTTGGTATCTTCCAATGATGTTAAATATTCTGCTATCCTCGACTTTTCCTCAGATAAGAGGATCTGTTCACTTTCTATAATCGACATGTCTTTATTATTTAACCCATCTTTAATATTTTTTTCAGCAGTGGCTAAGAGATCCTGAGAAGCCTTCAATTTTTTTTTGCAAATCAATTTCAGCAGCTTTCAATCTGCATTCCTCAGTTTCAGTGTTTTCACATTCTTTTCACTCTCTTTTTTCTCAACCTCTAATCGAGCAGAATAATTTTTAAATGCTGCACAAGCCACTTTAATAATATCTTCGTCAACTTTAAAGTTATTTAAACCCCTTATTTTGTTGATATGTGACACCACTTGTCTCAAACCATTAATACTATGAGAATTTAAACTTGCCCTATTGTCAAGTAGCTTTTTGTTCACACTAAAACTTCTTTCAACATCGGCATTCCCATGTGGTATGCACAAAAGAGATTTAAAAAGCTTTGCTAAAAGAGGATATTTGATATTTCTCAAATTTTCTTTCTTAACAAAATAGTTTTTTCAAACATATCAATTGGTGCATATTCATTTCAGTCAGAAGAATAACCTTCTGGTTTTCTATGTAACCTTGTCCATTCATCTAGTAACAAAGATGCCTTAATAGAAGTGTCTTCCATTCTCACTACAGGATGCAACATTTTAAGATGGAACAGTAACCTATTTTCAAGAGGCAATGCTTTTAATAACTTTTTTGCACATGCCATAGATCTGGCACCTAAATACGTATATTTTTTTTTTTTTGAAGAAGAAGATAATGATATCACATTTGTGCTATCTAGTCCAACATCTATTAAATTTGATTGCCAAATATCTGTGTTTTCTACATCCAATGATTTTAAGTCTTTAAAAAACGCCCCAACAATGCCTTAACTAGAGACACCATTTCATCATACAGCAAGTGAATCAATGGTGTCTCAGTTTGAAAAGACCTAAAAATTAATTTAATGTAGCCAAAATATTTCTTAAAAAAAAAGAAAAAAGAAAAGAGCTTTTGGCAGAAGCAATTTAAATAAATTCAATATTGCGTGGCTCATACTATTTTCTAAATTAATAATTACTTTACTTAGTTCTGAAAAGGTAATTCAAGACTAATTAATTTAACTATTATTTAAAGTTATCGAGTGTATTTCTTTATAATTTTAATAAATGTTATTGGCAATAGCATATTCAACAAAACATTAACAAGATTAATATTGATCATACTGAATTCATAAAAATAGGTAAAGAATTAAGCAAATTAAGAAAACTTAAATAATTTTTTATTACAAATGTAAATTAGTGAATGGTCCCTAATAAATTTTTATTAAAATTGGCTACCTAGTACAGTATTTCATTAATGAAATGATTAAAAAAAATTAAATAATTTATAAATGCTAATTCAATGAGTATTGAAGCTAAAAAAATTGCCAGAAGTAAATTATTGAATTGTCCCTACACTCATAATATTTCACAAATCTGTGATAATTAAAATTTTTTACATTAATTGTTTTAAATTAAAGATCATTTTTAAATCATTAAGAGATGAATTAAAGTATTTTTGAATCACAAATCTGAAAAACATAATGTTTTTTGCTGCATTAAAAATATTGAAAGCCCCATGCTCTTCATGCTTGCCTCTAAATATTATTAAGTTTTTTCCTTGAACAAATTAAGAGCACCGAAAATTTTTCGAAAGTAATAATACAATAATAAAATGCAATAAGTAAAAAACAAAAAAATACTATTTAAAAAAAACCAATGTTTGAATACAATATGCAATCAGTGGATGGTCCCTCAGATAAAAAAAATATGTTTAAGAAACTTAATTAATTTCCATCTTCATTAAATTAAATGAATAAAGGGGAGATGGAAATTTTGAGGTTATGAAGCTTTGTGGTTCTTGACTGCTCTGAGGATCAATATGAAAATATATACTTAGTGAATGGTCCCACAAATTAATTCAAAGATCATGGTACTAATCTATAAATAGAATAGCGCAAGAAGGCCATTAGCTAGCCATTGACGAAGTTGATAGCACTTTAATAACTACGAAATTAACAAGAGAAATAAAATTTTCTCTTGCTATTAAAATTTGGCAATGTTTAGTTGGTCCCCGAAAATTTGAGAGAAGTTTCGGTTCCATTTCAGAGAGTGGAAAATGAAGCCTGAAATTGAGAATATCTTGCAAAATAAAGCAGAGTGCACATGAAAGTGCAAGAATCCTTACCACTAAATCCAGAGAAACCCACATGGCAGTAGCTTGGTTGCTGCAAAATTGTGACTTCACGATACCCAGGGGAAAATATCCTTTTTGGAGCAATTTAAGCCAACTCCTTCAATTTGGAGCATGTAGGAGCAGGTTTCCACAATTGGCTCGGATCGGCACAGCACTTGCACCACTGCATACCATTTAGTTTCCCAGCTTGGACAGCAAATTCATCAGCAGACTTAGTAAGTTCATCTATGCAAAGCAATAATCTAAGGAGTTTCTAAGGACTAATTTGGAAACCTAAGTAGTTCCAAGTACTCCTTGGAGACTTTTTTATTTCCAAGGAGTTTCTAAGGAGTATAAGGAGTCTGTACGCACCCTGGATATGACACACATTTAAGTAATCATAATACGGATTTCCAGAATGCGGAAAATATTATTCCTTAAGCAGAAAGGTGCAAAATTCAGAAAGCATTCGCAAAAGTGCTGAAGAGTTGGCAGCTATGCCTCTAGGATAAGACCCTCGAAAGAACTTGATTCAAAACTAAATTAGTTTTATTTGAATTGAGTTCAAACATTTTTAAAGGTACGTTATAAAAATAATAGAAGTGTGGCCTAGAAAAAAAGCTTAATAGGGATTTTTAAAATATCTCACAGAGTTTCATATTTATTTGTTTGAAATGGAACCTTCTTACAGCACTTAAAAAATAATCTTTTGTAAGTTTTTAGATAACACAAAGAATTGACCATTTTCTGTGGGGCAAAGAAAGTTTCATAGTTCTAGAAATTAGTTGTTTAGGTGTCTGCTAAAGAAATTGTTGCATTTAATACCTGCTTATTCAATAGCTATGCTTAATTTTACCATCATAACTCTTACTTTAGCTAAAAGAAAAGATCTTAACAAAATTTCCTAACAATTAAAAATTTTAAAATACTTTAGATAGTTACACTTTTGATAAAACACACAAATGCATACCATAATATGTTCGCAACAAAGTATACATTTGAACTACGATAAAGTATTTAGAGAAAAAAAATTCAAATAAAATAGTTTTCTTACCGTAAACTTTCCAATGGTAGTATCAACAAAGCAAATACCATATTCTGTGCTTGTATCTTGATCACTATGCTAAATATAGATATAATACCAATTACTCCAATTAGTAAGGAAAAAAAACTGAGGAAAATTTTAGTTTCTTATTCAATTCAATTATAAAATTATAGAAAAATCCTGTCATTTCAAAAATTATAATTTTTACTAAAACAGGAAAAATTAAAAAGATAACTGATTTGTAATTAATGAAGTTTTGCTTTTATGAACAAACATCATTAAATACATTAAAAAAATGAATACTGGTGTTTAAAAAAAGCAACATTACAGAAACAATATGCACGCAATTCCATATACCGTGGAAAGTTGCGTATCCGGAATAGGTGGGACTTCCGGAAGTCTGGATATTAGATTTTTCCGTATAATAGACCCCCAAGATAAACAAAGCTTAAAACTATCTAATAAACGATCTGAATCTAAGAAGCAAAAAATAAATAAACATTATTTTTTGGGCAATAATGTTTTAGTATTAGAATGATATCTAATCGATTAAAAACAAAATATTAGAAAAAAATAATTATTGCTTAAAATATAGAAAACGAAAGAAAATTTGACAGTTATAAAAACATTAATTGCTCTCTCTCCGCCATTTTGAACTAGAACGATTCAAGGAAGAAGGGGAAATTCCCGTCATTCATTAAGGTTGGAAGGTGGAAGAGAAAACAATTCTTATTATCTCTTCCATCATTGGCTATCAATAAAGCATAAAGACGTGGCATGCTGATTTGATTCTCTTTATTTTTTAGTCTGTGACTGAAGTGAAAGCTATTCAATATTAAGTAGCGCATTCTATTTTTAAATTAATATAGTCAAACCCCGCTATAGTGAACCTTCAAGGGACCGAAATTTCTGTTCACTATAACCGTTACGCAGGCTAACGAATGGTTCCCAGACTCCTCCCTTTTATTACACATTATTCAAGTAAATGACTTAAAAATATTATGTAGTAGCAAAAAATGTTTTATTTTTCATTACTCTTTGTCTTGCGTACAAAAAAAAAATTAGTAATCTTTAGCTGATGAGCAATCTTCAACATCAGATATGGAAAAACTTCCCCCTGACTCTCAGATAATTTTTCTTGAATTTCTGTTATTCCGCTTTTTAAACCAGTCTAACCTGCCATTCGAGCACATAAAAGTAGTCTCATAAAATCGCTTAGCAAATTCATCGAGATTTGTACAAATACTTTGATTGGTGAACCAATTCAGTAATGCTTCTTCAACATCCTTGTGATCTGCTTTTCTCAACTTTTTTTTGCCATCTAAATTTTTTTCATCAGCAGAAATTATGAATTGCCTATTCCTCCATACGTTACAAACTGCAATTTTGGATAGTTCATATTCCCTGCAAATATCAATTTGATTGCATCCATTTTCAATTTTTCTGATTATGCCCATTTTATCATCAATGGAGAACGTTTTACATTTACTGCTCGCCATAGTTAAACTTGATACACATGTTTGCAGGAGATTTTAAACTGAGCTGACAGCAAAAAGATGGCTAAATGAGTGCTTTATCAACACATATTAGTGTCCAACCCTTTGACCAATAATGAATAATTGCTCATTCCCTCTGACAGAAAATGCATATTGACACCTTACGCATCGTCTGCTTGGGTTGGAAACATCTGCTTCGCTTTTTTAGAGCTGGGAAAGTGAGATAAAAGAAGCAAACAAGAAAAAATACTTATCGCTACATTTCCCTCTATAGATAGTTTTGAAAATCGGTATATGTAATTTTTTTTTTTTTTAAGTAGAAATTTCAAAATTATTACAAAAAAAATCAGTTGAAGACAGAAAAAAGTTCATTATGTCCAACGTCCTCACTTTTCTGCTTCACTATATCCACAAAAATTAACATTATCCGTGTATAGCAAGGCACAGAACCGAACATTCCGTACGCTATATCTGGGAGTTCACTATAAACCGTGTTCACTGTTGACTGTAATTAATTCATGTAAAAATAATTTATCAAAATTATAACTAATTTAACTATTATTTAAAAAGGTTATCAAATGTAGTTCTCAGATTTAAATAAAAGTTACTAATAAAAGCATATTCAGCAAAACATTAACAAGATTATTGATCATACCGAATTTATAAAAAAAATGTAAAGAATTAAATGAAATGTAAATACAATGAGTATTGAAGTTAAACATTTTGTCAGAAGTAACAGGGTATGAGCAGTAACATGAGCCAGGTGGCCGAGCGGTTAGCGCGCCTGACTGCGAAGCCAATGGCTGTGGGTTTGAATCCCACTCTGGGCATGGATGTTTCTCTCTTGTGTTGTCCTCTGTTGTGTGTGAAGTGTGAATGTGGCCCACCCTATGAACGGGTTTGTGGCAGTGTGGCATGGGTAATGTTGCTCTGCTCCGTGCCTTTGGCTCACAGGTGCCCACTGGGTAAAGGAAAATGAGTAACAATTCCGGCATCTTCTTAGGTGAAGAATAAAGTTCAGTGCCTGCCATTTGAAAAAAAAAAATGGTCCCTACATTCATAATATTTAACATATCTGAGATAATTGAATTTTGATTTCAATTGTTTATAATAAAATCACTAAAAGAGGAATGAAAGTTTTTTTTGGATGACAAATCTGCATTTTTTTTACATAACTAAACATAAAATTTTTGCTGCATTTAAAATATTAAAAGCACCTCACTTCATACTTTTATAAAATCTGGCCTTTATTATTTCATAAAACAACTTGAGAGTAATGAAAATTTTAAAAGTTATAATACAATAATTTATATAAAGTATTAAGCAAAATAAAGTAATAAAGCACAATAAAAAGTTTACAAAGATTTTATGCAATTTGTGGATGGTCCCTCGGTAATAATATTACTCTAAAAATTTTCAATTAATTCTTAAATTTAATGAATAAAAGGGAGATGGAAATTTTGAGGTGGTGAAACTTACCGATTCTTGGCTGTTCTGTTCACATGAAAATACGTAATTAGTGAAGTATCCTCAAGTCAAGTTTAAAGATTATGGTACTGATAGAATATCTCGAGAAGGCAATTAGCTTGCTAGTGACAATGACATGTCACCAATGATGAAATCAACAAGAGAAGTAAAATTTCTATCACTATTAGCGAAAAAAAATTTCACAATTTTTAGTTGTTCCCCGTAATAGCTAAAATTAGAGAGATCTTTCTATTTGATTTCAGAGGGCAGAAAATGAAGCCTGAAACAGAGAATCTCTTGCAAAATGCAGCAGAGTTGCACAAGAGGGGGCAAAAATCCTTCCCACTGAGTGTACGCACATGCGGACGTGAAATTATTTAATCAAACATGTAAAATTAATGGCATATTCATACGCTACACCGAAATAGATTGGGATAGAATTAATTGTGAAAACAATAGGTTTTTATGCATAATTTGTAGCGAAAATCAACATGAAAAAATATCTCATTCTGGAAAAGGGAAAATTAAGCAATTTTTAAAAACATCCAATGAAATAAGCACCTTTATGGGCTTCTAAAAAAAGAAAATCGAAAAATAAGCACCTTTAAGCACTTTTTAAAAATGCTACACACCTTGAATAATAGTGTTAATATTGAGGTTATAAACAGGGATAAATGGTATCTGAAGTAATAGTTTAAACAATATAAATAATTCTAATTTATGCAAAAACAAAACTTCAGTATCTTAAATAAAAACTTAAGTTCCCTCCACACTCAGTTTTATATTGCTATGTTCATATAAAAATTTGTTTGATTCAAATCTTTAACCCAGCTGAAGATATTACTTTAAATAAAACTTCTAAAATGAAAAGACATGACTGTAGTCAGGATTCAATGATAAATACTTTTACAGAAAATAATTGAGGATTTTCTAAAATAATTTTAATCTGTCACATTTTGATGAAAATCAACAAAAAAGGGTTACTGACCTTTTTACTGGAATATAAAAATGTTTCTGCTAATAATCTAAGTGAGTTAAGATCCTTTCCTCTTGAAATTGGCAAGAGGTGCAAGGCTTTATTGGATTAACTTGTTTTTATTGAAGGTTCATACATAATAATTTCAAATTAGCTCGCCTTATTAACAGTACTAAAAAAAAGACTCTCATTACTTGGATTGAACTCGAGCAATATGTTTTTGAAAGGCTGTGTAACTGCTTAATTTTACAACATTGCCCGATTTCGCAAGATTGTAGAAACACATTTTTCTTTAAAACTTGTTTTGAAAATTTTGTGCTTTTTATCTAATCCTGAAAGATTAACAAAAAAATTACCTTTTTAATCTTTGAAAAACATTCTGCTATCCTTTTTTTTAAAAAAAAATTGTATTGATAAAAACCAGATTACCTTTTCACAAATAGACAGCAAAAAATTATCACTTGATCCAATATTATTACTCCATTCATCATAGGACAGCGTTCTGGTGCCTTTAGAGGTAACTTGACAGATTTCTCGCTTAACTACTCTATCATATTTTGTAGGATGAGACACTAAAAGAGCATTCAATAAAAAAAGATTTTAAAAAATTAATGTAGAGGTAAAGCCCTACACATAAAAATCGATCAAACACTGTAATCCATGAAACATGGATTAGATCATGTAATCAATGTAAGCATGTAATCAATGAATTTCGCTTAATATTATAAAAAAGCAAAAAAAAATAACAAACTATGAGATATATTATAAAATATTTTGTATTTAAAATGATAGACAAAAAAAAGAACACACAAATTAAAAAGAAATAAGTTAACTTTTATACTATAATGTTATAACTTTGTCTTTTTTTCGATGCACCCTGCATAAAATTTCAGCTTTGCTGTTCTACTTATTGAAATCCAACTTAATTAAAATTGTAAGTTATGTAGGGTTGTCTAAATGTTAAGCAACAAATATTTTTTTATTTAATAATTTGATACTAGATCAAATAAAAAATTTCTGATTAAATATAAAAATAATTAAATTATAGATTGTATGAAGATTAAGAGAAGTCTTATAAATAAAGACCTGATTTAAGTTCCAAAAAATTTTATTTTAAAGATCCTATGAAAATTATCCATCAAAATTTAACCATATAACCATATAAAATTTGAACATGTACAAATATTATATAATACTATATTGCTTTTTTTTATACGAGATAAAACAATCTTTTATTTGAACTATTGCCGGAAACAAAAAAATTTTTTAACTTAATTCTTCAAATCAATCTTCATTTATAAATTATTTTTTAGTGTTACAGTAATGTGGGAAATTTGTTATATTATACATATTACTTGTTCCCTATCAATAATTTAACTAAAAAAGTACCAAAAAAGGAATCATAAAATTACTGTATCTGATTTTCAGATTAAAATTCTTCCTGAAATAAAACTTAAAAATTATTTAAAGTTTAAAACTAAAAGCAGAGAAGAAATCAATAGTCAAGTTTAAAAACAACAATGAAACATTAAGACAGGAAGAATAGTATGAACATATAAATAAAATTATTCATACTTGACTTGCATCGTTGCTCCATCATTTGTGGAGTTTCTGTCTGTTCAATTCTTGCAACCTTATAACCCTTTTGAATCAAAATATCTGAGAATTTCCCAAAAGCTACTTCTGGAAATCCTGCATGAGCAAAGTCACCCTGCATAAAAGAGATTAAAATTGAGCAAATTGTAAAAGGCCTAAAAAAAATGGATCATAATAATAATGAAACAATTGCAATATCAAGGCTCAGCACAGGTCATTATAGAAAAAGTAACAAAAAAAGTGACTAAATTTTTTTTAAAAAGTGATAAATAAAGGCTTAATTAAAAACAATGTTAATATTCAGGCAACATCCTAATAACCTTAAAAATATACAAGTTAAAGAAAAAAAATTGGTTTAGAAACATTTATTGCTTTAGAGATCAACTTTAAATGACATTTTAATTTACTGATATTGATATTTTTATTTTTAAAAAATTACATAATAAATATTTTTTAATTTTTCCCAACTTAAAAAAAGAAGCCTAAAACAACATACTTTTACAATGGAAAGAAATGGTGCAAAACGAGTGTGGCAAAAAATGATTTGTGAAATAAAAAATTTTACTGTATTAAAACCATCAAAATTGGAAATATGCATGAAATTGGCCAAAAAAACTGCTTTAGGGACTGGGATAGCCTGGTTGGTCGGGCACTGGGCCTGTGTCCAAGAGGTCGTGGTTTCGATCCTTGCCGACCGAGGACTCCCTGTGTGGTAAATGGTGCATGTTAAATCTGTCAGGTCAGAGTCCTCCATGTTCCCATAACAAATCAATGCCTCTGGGGATACTGAATTGGAGATTGATCGTTCTCTGATTTAGGTCAAAATTACAATTTGTGGATGAATGAATGGATGTATGAATGGGTCCGCCCCATAAGCTGGATTGGTTCAAAAGGCTATGGCTACGCAGTTGAACACTAGTAGTCGTAAACCCCAAAATTGGGTAGGCTGTTCAACGACGGTTATAAAATAAAATAACTGCTTTAAAAAAATAAACCAGGTGAATTTACGATGGAATTGTCCCAAATAGAGCGTCTCAAAAAGTTTTACTACCTAACTTAAGATAGATGATTAATAAGAATCATTCCTGGACACATTGAATAGTTCTCTTGCATTTCAAGAGGTATTCATTTAAAAGTAGAAATTGTATACATTTCTTCACATATTAAATTCTCTTCTATGCCCCACCCATTTAGGTGAGTCCTTTACTAGAGAGAGTGGATTGTAATATCATGGGTTCAATGAAGAGGGAAATGTGAAATCTTTTGCTTGATTGAAATGGGGGGATAAATTGTGAAATTAAAACAAGCAAAAAAAAAAAGGTTAGATAAGTGACTAAGCCTTAAAAACAGTGAATAAAAGTGACTATTTTTTAAGATAGTGACATTTAGTGAGAAAAGTGATCCACACATAGCCCTGCAGTATAGACGAAAGGCCAACTATTTAGTTTTATTTCAAGTAATTTTTTATTTTTATTTTTAAAATTTTAAAACAAATAAAAAAAGTTAGTAACTTATTTATTAGAAATTCAAAGATCTAAACTAGTTTAATGTTGTCAAAAGACAAAGGGTTACTGTACCTTCATGTAAGATAAATCCAATTCCTTGACACCAACTACTGCATCCATGTGATAAAACTCGTAAAATTTTCCAACCTGCAATACGCACAGAAAAATATAAAAAAACACAAACAAACTGTAAATTAAAAGAAAACATAGCAACTTATAAAAACAAAAAAGGAGTTTAAACAAACCTTAAAAAAAAGAACAGTATCAAAGTTGTTGGATTTTATTTCCCACCATTGCTTCAATCCCTAGAAAAAGAATTATGCATTAATTTTAACAAATTAGCCCAGATCTAATATTATAAAGGTAAAAATAATATTAATTGATGATCAATAATATCTTAATTTAGCATGGATTGAATGTGAAGTTTATCAATCTAAGAATTGGAATCAGCTATATGGTGCATGCTCAAGGAAATTAAAATATTTTAATTAATCCAATGAATTAGATATTGAATTATTTTAGATAGATAATTTTAAAATATCAATGAAAAATCATTTTGAACAAGATATCACGGTTTTCACCACAGAAAAAAATTGGGGGAGAATTTCTTACTTTTTCCCAAAAACGGAGTCAAATTTCAACAAAATTGTAAGAGAAAACAAACAGGCTTTAAAAAATATTTATTTCCTTAATTATTATACAATTACAAACACTTTTAATGTCATAAATTATAGATAGAAGCAACGTTTTGATGAAAACCACACAAAAAATTTTAAATTTTCATGTAACATAGATTATTAATTGAGTTACATCAGTTATTTAGTCAGCAATCTTACTTGCGAAAGTTGTTACTTATATAACTGCAAGTAATTCACAAGGAATGCTTAATTTTTATATACTCCAGTACTGTCAACTGTTTTAATTCACTTTTGTGCTTTATTATTGAACTATAAATACTGTTATTTAAGAATTGTAACCATTTATTACCTAAAATTTAAGAAAAAGTTAGAAAAAAAAGTGTTAAACAAGGAGTTACTTTCACAAATTAGGAATTTTATTCGTATTTAATAAAACAACAGAGATTTAATATGGTGTAGTAGAATTTTTACATAAAATAATTACAATAGATGTGAGACTTATACTTTAAACCGTATCAACTACTTATTGTCACTGAATTTTGAAATTTGTTATTTTCCAGATATGTTGCAAGATTTTTCAAGTTTTGGCCAAAATAGCATTATTTTCAGACTTTTTTTCAAACATATCCTTTTTTTCCATATTTATCATCACTGAAACGAATTGAATTTATCATCAGTAAAAATTCCAAATGCCTAGCTCGAGTATTCAAATTATAATGAGGACTCTGTGCTGGATGACATTATATGTTACAATCTAATTTGAGCTACAAGAATTTGTCATATTATCTAAGAAAACTTATTGTCAATAAAAACAACCACCACTAACTAAGGGGCTCAAATGAAACTCTCTCCTGATAACAAGACGCGTTTCAATTATTTCCAAATTACAAGCAAAATATATTGCTAGTCAAAGGTAATTTATTATCAATGACAGTTCAAACCACTTTTCAACTAGCTATAACTCAATAAGTTTAAGTTATTCTCATAACAGCAATTTCATATATAAGTTAGTATAAAATTAAACATTTATTAAAAATTTTATTGAGGATCTCTTAAGTTTTCTTAAGGTATATTGAATTATAAATTAAATATATTTTAAGTATCACAATATATCAAAAATTAAGTAGGAGCAACAAAACCAATACATTTACAAGTAAATCATTACCAACAATACATTTTACAATAAATAACAATTCATTAAAATAAATATTGATAGCAAATTGAATTAGACATTCTCCCGAATACAATCAGATTCTTAAAACATTGTGCCCATAAGAAAAGTTATACGATAAGTATATATAAATTAAATAATAAGCATCAAATAACTACAAAATAAAATAATTTCAATTATGATTTTCTTACTGGAGTGAGAGTCTTTTTATAACTTTCTGGCACATACAAAGTTTCGGGATCATAATCTGGATGTGACTTGCGCTTACCACTTTTATCCCTATTTAATAAAAAGTTATAGAAAATTCACAAATACCAGAGTTCAAAAATTATGTTAAAAGCAACAAATAAATCAAAACATCTTTTATTAAAGAAAAAGTAATGAAACAACCAAACCTATTTTTATGATATTTAAAACCACATCATAAAATATGTATATACTTCAAGTCTAATAAAGTTAAAGAAAGATTTCAGAAATTAAATATACACTAAAAATTCAACAATATAAAATGTGGGAGAATCATGAAATTTCAGATACCTTGGTGGCCTAACTTTTTGGGTTCTCCATTATTCAGGCTCTGCAGTGGGCCAAAGAAAAAATCAGGACATTTTTTGAAACAATATACACTACACTATTTTTAAAAGCCATTATCTACTCTACTTCAGAAAAATAAAAGCAAATTTTATCACAAAATAATAATAAAATATAAAATTTTTAATTTCATAACTACTTTGTTCAAAAAAGAAAGTTTTAACAATTTCCTGAATAATTTTATCAATACTGAACAACAGATAAAAAGTTCAAATCAATACATGGAAAATTTTTATAATACTGTTGCATAAAAAAATTAATAAAAAAAAACAATTAAATAATATTCCCTCATACCAAAATATAACTAAAATTTGTAAACAAGTATTTGTTAGTTCATTTGCTAAAAATAATAAGTACTACCCTTGAAATTATCATAAAAATTTGATAATCTAAAATGTTAAACGAGTTTCCTTTTCATTAAATGACTTAATTATTTTTTAAGAGGTTAAAACAATGAAAGCTAAATGCTTGAACCCTGTATATACAACCTATAGACGGTCCCTAAATTGAAAATAACGAATTTTGCAATTTTTACTGGCATTACTAACTGCATAACTGCCAACATTGAAAAATTAAAATAATGGAGATTTTACTAGTGACATTTTTTAGGTTACGAGATAATTTTTACATCATGCATAATCATGCAAGTCGAAAAGAGAAAGTCATAATTGGGAATAATGTAAGCACTTACATTTAGAGAGGTAAAAAATATGTATGTAAATTTTAATCTAAAAAAGATTTTTTTAAACTTATATTTATAATGACAAACTATTAACACTCAACATACTGCAGTACTGGCAAAAGCACTATCTGTTGAGGAATAAGAAGTATTTTTGTCATCAGCGGATATTTTATCGCCAAAATATGTATTTTTTTTAAGTTTCTTCAACAAATACGGAGAAATTTGAAAATATACTGGTAAACAGGAGATAGTCGTCAAATACAGGAGTCTTCGTTGAAAAACAGGAGACTTGGCAGGTATGTAATTGAATTAAAAAGACATTGGATCAAATCTACTTTTTAAGACCTGTATTGGGTATTCTTAGAAAATTGAATTTTTTTTTAACCCACACAATAATCAAGACAAAAAGCTAACACCAGAATAAAGAAAAACAAAATATATTTTTTCAGGAAAATCAGGACGACTAACAACCTTGGCTAACTTTATGAAAAAATTTTGAGCATTAATATAAAAAAATTCTATCAAAATCATCACTTATAAAAATAGTGATGATCAGTGTTAGTTGCCCATTAACTTTTTATTAAATATTAAAAAAAAATTGCAAATTGAGAAATAATTCAATAGAAAATAAAGTTATTCAATTTTAACTCTTACTTAGTATCTGCTTTAATTAATTAAGCAGGGACAGAAATTAAGAAGTTTTAGTCACTGGACCAATAAATATTAGTAGTTCATATGCATTTTTACTGCTCATTTACAAGGTTTGATAAGGTTTTTATTTTAAAAAAGTTAATAAAATGAATTTAAATAAAAAATGACAATACAGAAAATGTGTTATGTACAATTAAGATGAAAAAAGGTATTTTGTGACCAAAACATATTATTATCCCTTTACAATGCTTGCTGGCTCCAAAGATCAAAGATTTTAAGGTGGTCCAAGTTAAATTCTAACCAACCAACAGAGTGTAAACCAACTAAATTAAATTTCAGACCTGTAAAAGCTCAAAATTTTGGTTGTCAACCTTATTTCACTTACTGCTTAAATGCAGTCATAATAGAAATGCTAAAAAAAGGAAAAAACATTTTATCAGAATCTTCATTTACAGAAAATAAAGATACTCATATGAAATAATAAAAATAAGTATAAGATTAACAACCATTAGAAACAAAAGATTAATACAAACCAGAGATTAAAAGGACAAAACACTCCCTAGTCTTAAAAAAAAATACTTTAATGTTTAAGAACATAGTAGTTTTCCAGATTATATTTTCAGAAAGAAAAGTCACATCATAATAAAAGGGCTGATAAAAGCAAAAATCTATCATAAAAGCTCACAAGGAGAAATAAGAAAAAAAGGCCAGAATAATAATTATAAATAAAATAAAAAGTTAAATTATGAAGTGAAGAAAAAAACAAAAAAATAATAACTTTTAATTCTTGATTAATCTTTTACCATTTATTTTAAATTTAATATATTTCTAATAATTAAATTTACAGTTTATAAAAAATACAACCATTGTTCATTAGAAGAAACAGGAAGAAAAATCGTCTGCATTTATATTAATCTACTGAATATTCATTGTTCTTGTTTTACTTTTCTGCAAACTTACTGAAATTTTTTCTCAATGTGAAGATTTTTTGAGTACTTATTTTTTGTTTTTCCTGTTGTACACAAAATATATTTAAAACTCATTTTTATGCACAAAAGGTAACATTCATAAAATTTAAAGAGAGAAAGAAAGAAATTTTTAATCAAATATTTTTCTTTCACATCAACACATAAAAGAAAAAAACATATATTCCTCATTTTTCACATTTGAGAGCATTACATTACATCACATTGCAATAAAAAAAAATTTAAAAACCTTGACATTTATGGCAATTACTGTAAAAATATTGATGAAAAAATGAGTATTTACGACAAGAGCACACAAATCAGAAAGAGTTCATTAAATTCCAGATGTATTCATTGTTTCGAGATTTAATTGTTGCAATAAATAATATTGCATTAAAAACATCAAGATTTCTTGAAAAATGCAAAAAATCAATCCTGGTAACTGCCAAAAATATGCATCGAAAAATTTTTTAAATTCAATTATCATATCAAATAATTAATACTCAGGTGCGTGATTTTAACTTTTCTTATCACAATAATGTCAAGATTTTAAAAAATTATATTAAAATCAACAGAAATAACTGGAAAAAAAATAGTCAAAACGCAGCATGGATTTCATGTATGAATCAAGACGTATTTACTTAATTGTGCAGTTCAAATTTCTTGCTTAATAAAATACATTGTACGAAAATATTGGTATTTAAAAAATCAGAAAACTGAAAAAGTCAACTGAGAAAAGTGGCATTGCCGAGTGAAAAAGTAACTAATAATGCACAAATTGAATTTTGTGTGCCAAAATAATTACGCATAAAAAATATAGGGTATTTAAAAAACATTGGAAAAGTTTGTAGCAATAATAGCTGATAAAACGATCGAAACACTGCACGGATCTCCTATAGTATCAATGCAAATCGAACACATAAAGAAATGATTACTCAAATGCGCAATTCAAATTTTGCATGTTTGCAATAGTATTAAAATTTTAACAATAATGAGAAAACAAATTGAATTAACTGCAACTAAAAAAAGAGAGACCGAAACACGAAGGATTTAAGATGGTATTGAAAAGTGATTACTGAAAAGGGAGATTAAAAATTTCCATGTCATAATATCATATTAAAAATATTAATTCCATCTAATTGTTGTCAAATAAAAAAAGGGGGCAAATATATCACACTGACAGAATAATTCTTGTTACAAATCTGAATTTGAAACTAAATTGCAACTCATTAAAACACATGAGTTAAAAAAAAATGAAAAAGACATTTCTTACATACAATATTTTTTAATGTTTGCCATTTCAGAATTACTTTTCAGATTACCAATTTTATACTTTTGTGTTGGCCTCAGCAGTGAGTTAATTCTATCCGAAGTTATTACGGAATTTTTTTCCAGTTTTTCTGAATTTGCGTTTATCTCAAATAAATCTGCCTAAAAAAAGAAGTTATTGCAGGTAAAAGAGAACTTAGTAAGAAAAAAAAGAGGGTGCTGATAAGGGCAGAATAAATGCCTTGTTAATAAGATTTTATATAAGAAACAAAATTTGAATTTTAGATTAGCAGAATTCAAAGAAAATTTTGTTGCAATATAAATTACTGATTCACAACTGATCCTGTGAATCAATAGCTTTGGGTTTCACAGAATTTGGTGAATTAGCGGAAATCACATTCCTGCTCATAAGTTTAAATGAAAGAAACATTAAAAAGGCACAAATGAAAACACAACTCAGATTATTTATTATTTTTTTAAAAATTTCATATTATTGGCATGATTTAAAAAAAAAAAGTTCCATAAGTTTCTAGTTTTGAATAACTTTTCTCCATTTATTTCCCACCTCTTGGATAATGGAGATTGTGAACATTTCTATCTCCTCTTGCAACCTGATCTTGAAGCAATTTGGCATTTGATCTTGCACAGTCTAAACTATTATCGACTTGAATTATTTTTACAAAATTCAAATGGTTTAAGACAATGATTTTTTACACGACAATGATTTTTCAAAAAAAAATCAAATTATTTAAATCATGATAATTGTTTGTGGCCAACCCTGATGTTACTAATAGAAATCTTAAAATAATACTGCAGATAGTTTACAAATAAAATGAAATCAAAGCAAAAGTGACAGTCAAAAGAATATAAAATATTAAAATATAATACTTCATATTTTCCGGCTTTAGCCAATCTAGTTTATCATGCAAATATGTAACTTTTTCATCAGCAATACTATTCTTCTGTAAATAAGAGAAATTTTTTTTTTAAAAAAATGTCATAATAAATTAATACAGTTTATTTTTGCAATTTTTTTAAACAAATATATATATACATAAAATAAAAATAAGCAATATATATGCATATATATAACATACATATGTATTTCTTATTTTATCGCTAGAAATAGAAAATCTGAATAGAAGAGTGACTCGTTAAGAGCACACTCAAATCGATCCACTCCATAACAGTTTTGCCAAATTAATAAAAAAAATAAACTTTAAAAACACCACAAAATAATATATAAAATATAGTTTTCAAATATATATGTACGGTGGGGGTTGTATATATAGGGTTCAAGCCAGGGCCGGATTACCCATTAGTCCATGGCCTGGGGCCCCCAAAGATTAGGGGCCCCCTTAAAATGGATTTCTTGAAAATAAATTTTAAAAAATTAAGAAAAACAATGATTTTTCAAGTCTTTTAAAAATGTTATGATTATTTTTTAGTTCTAACTTAATAAAATGAAGTAAGATTTAATTAATTTTTTTAAATATACTTTCTTAAATGAAAAGATACATAAATACTTTTATATTTGAATAAATAAAATTATAAGATTAAAAATGTTATGATTACTTTTTAGTTCTAACTTAATAAAATGAAGTAAGATTTAATTTATTTTTTTTAATATGCTTTCTTAAATGAAAAGATACAAAAATACTTTTATATTTGAATAAATAAAATTATACGATAAAAAATTTAATCTAAGGGCCCCAAAAATTTGAATGGTCTAGGGCCCCGCGTATGCTTAATTCGGCCCTGGTTCAAGCTTTTAATTTTGAAGTTATTTTTTTCTGTAATTTTGATATTAATTTGTGCAGTAAAATTTTCAAAAATTTAGTTTTTTCTCAGTTGTTTAGAATTAATAAATTCTGCAACAATGTTTTAAGTTTTCAAGAGGCAACTAGTAATTTTTTTAAAAATTTAGAAAATAATGGCTTTCCTTTTAATTTTTGTAATATTGATTTTAAAATTAAGAAAATGATTGAAAATTAATAATTTTTTCATTTAGTTAAGCAAAATCCAAGTCTTGATCAAGTTTTTCCATTAATGATGTCACTATTTCCTTAACTTCTGTCCTTTTTTCCCTAATACTGTGCAGGTTAGGGGGCGTTGTTTTTATGTTTATTTAATTTGTGTCTCATAGTCAGTTGTATTATCTAGTTATTGGATTTTTATTTCAAGTTAGCTTTCGTTTGTACTATTCTTATGTATTTGTCTTGTTTTTATTCTTCTGTATTTTATATTGTATATTATTTATTATATTGGACTTCAGTAAAACCTTTGGGGTACAGAGAATACAATTTTAGACTTTTGTCTTGTTCTCTCGGTTAAAAAGGTTTAGCTTTTATGTCTTCCAAAGCTGGTAACCCTTGAGGACATGAGCTTTGGTCGTCATATTTATCCAATTTTTTTCCTATTTTCATTGTCTCATTTGTTTCAATTCCTTTTTGATTCACATCTGCTAAGCGCGTTTTTCCATTGGAAGTATTATTATTTTTAATTGCTATAAAATTTTGAATTCTTTACTGAATATTTAAATTACATTCATGAAGACAAAAATGGACTTTGCATTTGATGCATAAATAAATCGTGTGATTTTTGCACACTACATCATTTGCGGGCTTTTTTGTTCATGCTCACTTGTTGCAAGTTCGATTCTATCAGTCCATACTTCTTTTGGTAGAGTTGATGATAATGAGCGACCTTTGTTAGGATAGGTAATTAGTAATGTACCTTCACAAGATGGATTGTTTTTGAATTCAGATTTTAATAGGACAATAGCTATAGTCTATAGCTAAGATCTAAAGTCTATAAGTGATATTTTTGAGCTAGTTGAAATTCTATGTAGCTTCTATGAATTTATTATAACGCTATCAATGATGATTGTAAATAATGGCCACCACTATTTATTACCTTGGATCTTGATGCGGTAATTAGCTATGGCATCGTCATGCAGATCTACACCTCCTATATACTTATTATAATCCGAAATAACATTGGGTTGAGAAATCACTTCTTTGCGGATGTATCGTTGAGCATTTATAAGGGGCGAAATGGTACCATTATTAGTAGCAATCGTTACCACAACATTATCGTTCCATTTTATTGTATATGTTTTTGCATCCTTGTTGATTGCAAAATTGTATGAACCATGTTTTTTTCTTCATATTTTGCTGCCAGATGCAAAGAAAACCTTTTCTTTCAAAATTTAGAATAAATAACAGGAAGAGAAAAAGTTATCAAAATAAATTTCGTGCACCTCAGGTTTTGAAACAAAGCTAGTTACTTCAGAACGCTTGTTCCTAGTGGCATATTTTGTTGATCAATGTTAGCATCAGCCATAGGGATTGAATTGGCAAAGGTATCCGTAAGACAAGCACAAACACCAAAATTTAAATACAAACCTTACGGGTTTCCAATTTATAAACATTTTTGACAAATGCCTTCCAAAATAAGGCACCATCTCTTCGACAAATGTTGCGAAAATATTCCAAATTGCAGATACTTTTGATTTATATGCATAAAAACTGGGCGTAGCTTAGCAAATTTGTGTTTTATTAAGACTAGAGTTACACAACAAATTACTAGTTTGCTTTATGCTTTTAAATCTGATTTGACTCATGTACTTCTGAAATTATTGGCAGTCCTTTATCATCATCTAAAGACCAGTGCATATTGATATGAGGAAGTGTATGGTATCCAGAAAGAATTAGTACACCTAAAAATCTTTTCAAATCGGTTACAGAAAACTAGAGATGCCATCTATTAAGTAAATTTCCAAGAAATCACTCTAAATTTTCAATAAAATTCTGAAACCTTGCATAAAAAGTGGGCATTCAAATTTTGCCTATTTCTCATGCATTCGATCAATGGTGCGTTAACAAAAATTAAATTTGAATCAAAAAATTTTAATTTTTTTTAATGATATTTGAATGTTTTAAATTTTATTTTCTGAACTTACAACTTTAACCCATTATAAAAATATATAATAAATCTCAAGTAGAATAATTATAGTTTCAAAAATTAGACTTTTTCAAGAATGGCTTGAAGTTAAAAAACTAGCCTGTAATGAAAATTTCTCTACAGAAAGTATTTACTCCAATTGAATTACTAATATTTTAAAGATGTCTTCAGAACCCTTAAAAACAGCAGAAAAATAAAAGTATTGAAAAATATTCGCCACGGTGTTAAGAAAGAATTATTTATTAAAATTGTGTGTTTACACACCTTTGGCACGAAAATGGGTTGATGACAAAATAGATAGTCAATAAATTTATATAATATACTATCTGTCTCATTCAAGTTATATTCATATTTATTATTTTTATTATATATATATATACATATATATGTAATACAAAAATTAAATACTTTTGTATTAATAAAAGCATTAAAACTTCATTCCTTTTCATGAAATATCTTTAGTAAAGAATAAGGGTAGAAATTCTATTTTGGGACTTCAAGGCTAAAAACATGCCAATGAATAATAATTAGATTTATACTTCAAAAGAGAAGTTATTTTAAGATCTTTCACTTCCATATAAGAAAAGATTAAACGATTTGCTATGAGTAATAAATAAATTTGATGAGGCGTAAGAATACAGAAAAAGCATATGACTGGACTTTTTACTCTTTTTAATCATCCTATATAACGCAGGACCGAATGTTTTTGCGTGGCTTTTTGTTGTTTATCATGCTTAAATAAAATCCGTCAGCTTAGACGGGATATGGGTCTCCCCCCATCTCCAGC